CGTATCAGTTGATCGTCGGCACAGCCCGGCTGCCATTTTTATTTTAATGAAGCGGGGATTATTTAAATCATTATTATTGACTATGCTGAGTAAACTATTTTACATGGCTCTGTCGATGAAGCCATGTAGTCTAGATGTACCCAAAACTGGTACATATAACACTAAGTACACTTTATCGCTTACAGAATGAGCCTCACTCGCCTCACATTCATACCCCAAATCATACTACACCAGAGTCTGCAGTTAGAGGTCTTGATGGTCAGTCCAGAGTCAGTCTCAGCAAAAGGTGCAAGGAGCCTGCAATCCACACAGGGCTCTGGATTGTAGAAAGATGCCAAATTCCAAATATGTGAAGCCTTCATTTACAATCCACTTTGTGACATGTTTAGTCTTTTATCTCTTTTGGCTGGGCCTTTACTCATAGTGCCAAAGTTCTGTGTGGACTGCCTCATCCAAGTGTGCCATTTCCTCCAATTTTTCCTGGTCGTGTCCTTTTCTGCTGCTTCTTCCTGTCCCCAGGACATAAGAAAGTTGTTTCTGTTCTGACTGCCCTTAACCACTTGAAACCTTAAGTCTTCGCTTCAGCTGCCAACATGCAATGGAGGTTCTCACAGCCAACTGCCCTAGTCTTTAAACATTGTGCATGGCTACATGGATTATATATAGATCTTTGGATGTATGTACCCCAACAACCAGAGCTATTGGAACTTTCCCCTAAGTGCTATCCTGGGTACGGGCAAAAACCGTAACATTTCATAAAGCCCTCTTAGCATTTCTCTAGTCTTTGGTTAAATGAAGATGGAACTGGATGTTTCACTAGTACGCCAGGTATGTATCAAGGGGCTAAAGAGGGGCCACACAATTTAAGGGACCCAGGTAATGCTGGTGATGGACCAAATACCAATAACCCACCAGAAGGGGCTGGTCTCTTGGCCTATATTGTGCCAGTGTAGTGGGAAGGAGTGGGAATGGCATCCCTTGGCTGTTGTGTCTCTGTGGTAGCCTAGAGATTAGCATATCATAGGCCGTAGCTACTTGGGTTGGCTGTGACACGGCATCTTCTGGTCCCTGAACAATCTCTAAAGGCACCATCCCCTCACGCCCAGGGGCGGACACTAATGGAGGGGCGGATCTCCTCCCCCTGGGCTCCACTTGCCTCAGCCTTTACATCACCAGTCACCTCCTCTGAGACAACACAGGACTCCACCTCCTGCTGTTCCATCCTGTGACCTTCCTTTTCTGTTTGCAGTCAGCTGGGAGCCACTGCTCTCCCAAAGCCCTCAGGAACTTCCCTGCAGTTCCTGAGACTCAGTCCCTGACTCCACTCCTGGGGTGCTGTGTCAGTGACAGCCTGAGGTAACATCTCACCCTGCTTTTAATTATTGGCCCTGTGGCCTTCTCTCTCTGTCCGCTCCACCAATGGAGAGGGGAGCCGACACTCCTTCCTTCTCTAATGGGACCCTCTCTTCTAATCCACATCACTTTCTGCACCTCTCTGCTTGCTCTTTCTCGCAGGGAACGTGAGGCATCACTTGTGTGGCCAGAACCATCATCAGGCACCACGAAATTTGGAGCACCACCCCCAAAATGGGATGCTGCATATGTTCCTGGTAAGAGCAGGGTCGGTGAAGCTGAGTGAGGTGGCCTGGTGCATTTGGAGGGAGCGTGGTGCTGTGCTGGTGTCTCTCTAGGGAGGGCTGTGTGGGGCAACTCTTCTATTAGTCTCCCCCTGCCATCGGGATGAGGTGAGGTGGGCCAGACAGCACCAGCTTCGGTGAAACCTGATTACTGGCTCTTCTGTGTGGTAAGTCACATGGTGATGATGTTCTTCTCCCTGAGCCTGCAAAGTGGAGCCCCCCAGTCCCTGACTCCCTGCTTCCCAGCGCTGAGTGCAGCCCCCACCCCGCAGAGTGTCCCGCTGGCTGGACGAGGGGAGCTGGTGCTCCAGCTGGCTGCCAGCTGAGGAAGTACTCAATGCTTTCTTTGCCTCTGTCTTCACAGAGGTCAGCTCCCAGACTACTGTAATAGGCAACACAGTATGTGAAGGAGATGGGAGCCCTTGGTGGAGAAAGACCAGGTTAAGAACTATTTAGAAAAGCTAGACATACACAAACCTACGGGCCCTGATTTAATGCTTCTGAGGGTTCTGAGGGAGCTGGCAAATGTCATTGCAGAGACTTTGGTCATTATCTTTAAAAACTCATGGAGATGGGGAGAGATCCCAGATGAATGGAAAAAGGCAAATGTAGTGCCCCTCTTTCAAAAAGGGAGGAAGGACAATCCAGGGAACTACAGACCAGTCAGTTTTACCTCGGTCCCTGGAAAAATCATGGAGGGGATCCTCAAGGAATCCATGTTGAAGCACTTGGAAGAGGGGAAAGTGATCAGGAATACCGTAAAATCGCGAGTATAATGTGCACTTTTTTCCTCCATGATTTTTTAGGGTCAAAGCTGGGGTGCCCATTATACATAGGAGGTTATCTGTTAACATTTTAAACTCACCCTCCTTTCTGCACAGAAACTTTCCAGCTGCAGAGCAATGCCCCATCAGGCTCCTGGACAAGGCAAGGAGCCGGCGGTGCTGCCAGGCTGCAGTGCCCTGGCTTGCTGCTTGCCTGGTTCTCGGTGCGGTACACAGGCAACTATCCAGAGGTGGGCGGGGGCCCCCGTGGCAGGTAGGAGCTCAGTACGGCACGTGGGCAGCTAGAGGAGGGATAGGGAGCAGGTTTCAAACTCTGCCACCAACTCCACGGTGCTGCATGCATGTTTCTTGGGCGAGTCTGTAGGTGGGAGCAGCCCCTTCCTTCCTATATATAATGAGGTGCGCATTATATGTAGGATTCTGTTTTTTCCAGGATTCTGACGTTGAAAAGGTAGGTGCATATTATACATCGGTGCACATTATATTCATGATTTTATGGTAGTCAACATAAATTCATCAAGGGCAAGTCATGCCTGATTAGCTTCTATAATGAGGTACCTGGCTCTGTGGACGTGGGAAAGTCAGTGGATGTGATATACCTTGACTTTAGCAAGGCTTTTGATACGGTCTCCCACAATATTCTTGCCAGCAAGTTAAGAGAGTATGGATTGGATAAATGGACTGGAAGATGGATAGAAATCTGGCTAGAATGTTGGGCCCAACGGGTAGTGATTAATGGCTTGATGTCAGGTTGGCAGTTGATTTCTAGCAGAGTGCCCCAAGGACTGGCCCCAACAGATAGTGATCAACAGCCCGATGTCAGGTTGGTGGTTGGTTTCAAGTGGGGTGCCTCAAGGATTGGTTCCAGGCCTGGTTTTGTTCAACATCTTTATTAATGACCTGGATGAGGGGATGAATTGCACCCTCAGCAAATTTGCAGACGACACTAAGATATGAAGAGAGGTAGATATATTGGAGGGCAGGGATAGGATCCAGAGTGACCTAGACAAATTAGAGGATTGGGCCAAAAGAAATCTGATGAGGTTCAACAAGGATAAGTGCAGAGTCCTGCCCTTGGGATGGAAGAATCCCAAGCATTGTTACAGGCTGGGGACTGACTGGCTAAACAGCAGTATGGCAGAAAAGGACCTGGGGATTACAATGGATGAGAAGCTGATTATGAGTCAGCAGGGCGCCCTTGCAGCCAAGAAGGCTGATGGTATATTAGGTTGCATTAGGAGGAACATTGTCAGCACATCTAGAGAAGTGATTATTCCCCTGTATTGGGTGCTGGTGAGCTATATCTGGAGTACTGCATGCAATTCAGGCCCTCGCACTACATAAAGGATGTGGACTCATTGGAGAGAGTCCAGCGGAGGGCAACCAAAAGGATTAGAGGGCTTGAGTGCATGGCCTATGAGGAGAGGCAGAGGGATTTGGGCTGGTTTAGTCTGCAGAAGAGAAGAGTCAGGGGGGATTTGAGAGCAGCCTTCAGCTCCCTGAAGGGAGGTTCCAAAGAGGATGGAGAGAGGCTGTTCTCAGTAGTGACGGGAGATGGAGGGTCGTCCTCCCTGTGGGCGACTGGGATCAGACCAGGGCCTCGATCCTCACAAAAATGGAGAATCCTCGCACACCACCCCCAGGCCTCCCCGCCGGCATCAGAGGGAACTCTTGCCTCAGATAGTAGCAGGAGGGACGTGTTACTGGCAGAGGTCTCCATGAGCAGTGACTCCAAATTAGGGGCTCATGGACCCCCAGTGCTGCCATGACTCCCCCAGGCAGCTGTTGTGTTTGGAGGTGATCTGGGACAAGTCAGGAGACTTGGCCCAGCAACCCTCTTCCCGATCTCATGGGAGACTTCTCCAGCTCTGCATTGGGGGAGAAGCCGAGCCTGTGTTTCGTGCTTCTCCTGGACAAGGACCCAGCCCTGCACATGGTGTCAGAAGGCTGCCCAGGAGGGCCAGGGGCCAATGGTGATCATGCAGGGGCTTGTGTTGGTAACTTGGGGCGAGTGTGGGGTGCGGGAAACTCCCCCTGCCACGGCAACCCTCCCAACCTGCACCTATCACAGGTGGAGCCCACCTGCTTGACTGGGTGTATTGAGGGGTGCCGTCATGAATTGAGAGGGAGCGGTGATAGGCTTGGCAGGAGGAGGGGTGACCACGGGCACCAGGCAACTAGGGTCACTGGCAGTGATGGAGCTGGCGCCCTAGCAGGTCTCAGGGGCCTCGTATGCCTCTCTGTGCTGGTCAGGGGACACTCCCTCAGACATGCCCCATTGCCCAGCAGAGGCAGCACCAGCCCCCTCCCCTCAGAACAGGACACCTGTTCATGGGCCCCCCTGCTAGGGGACCAGAAAGGGACCCTCAATTCCTCTTTCTTATGTTGCCGGCAGCGGCGCTTGAAGCTGCACTTTCCATCAGAAGGAAAGGCAATGCCGGGGGCGGGCTCCGGACTGCCCAGTGGGAGAGGGCTGATAAAGGATGGTGTTTTCCCTGGCTGGAGAGGGAAGGTAACTGTGTGGAAAGGTGAGACAGGGGTTAGAACCGTCCGTAGGCCCAAGTCCTCCAATGGCTCGATGGGGACTTACAGACCCTTCACCACCAGGTTGCTCTCCGCCACTTCCTGGGTGGTGGACTCCGATTTCGGGAAGACGACCAGCTCCCCGTACATCGCAGAGGCTGGTGTCACAGCTGTGGGTCCCACCGCCCTTGCCAATGTGCACACACAGGTCTCCACGTGAGGCAAGGTGGCACCAGCAGGCACTGGACACCGTGCTTCCGGGCCAGGGTTGGAAAGGGGCTCTGGCTGTGGCAGTGGCCAGGAGTGGCAATGCAGTGACAATCAGGGACGCTCTGTCCCCTGGGCAGATGCCTGGGGTGTTGGGAGAGGGGCGCCCCCAGAGCTGGTGGAGGGAACAACAGGAAGAGGATGGAGCTGGGGCCAGTGGGAGGGCCGTGGCGGAGGGAACAGCCCCTACCAGATGGAGGAGCTTAGCTTTTTGAGTGAGGCCTTTGTCCATCATACTCCCTTGGCCCTTCCTGCTGCTGGTGGAGGGCGGGAAGAGGAGCTCTCCCAGAGACAGAGGGGCTAGGGAGCATGGTAACAATGGAGCCCACCCTGTGCCTACCACCACCAATGAATGCTGGGGGAGGGGACTGGAAAGGTCGACCACTCCTCCCTGCTAGGCTGGAGGTGGTGGAGAGGGAGGTCCCATGGACATCTAACAAGGGAGGGTTGGGGTGCTCTGCCGGGGGTGCAGGCTCTGGGATGGGAAAGGGGATAATGGGCTTGGGGCAGGAGGAGGGTCCAGGCTTTGTCTGGGGCAGAGGGTTGGGCTGAGGTGGCCTTCTGTTGAGGATGGCCAAGAGGGGCTCCTCTTCTCTGCCTGCAGTAGCTACATGCTGGTCCTGGTCAGGCATTGTCTCCACAGGCTATGGCAGCTCAGTGGTGGGGCTGGAGGGGAGGTGCCCTGATCCTCACCCCCTGGCAGCCCTGGCAGCCCCAGGATGTGCTGAGAGGCCTCTCCCCACTGCAACTCTGAGCCTCTCCACAGGGCTTAACGGGAAGTTGTACAGCCACACAGCTGAGCTAATGACCTATTCTCCCTGTTCCCACAGCCCAAAGCCTTTGGTTTCTGTCCAACAGCAAGCGACGCTGTTCCAAGCCAAACCATTGGAATATCGAATCCCAGCCCTGCTCTACATTGAGAAGTACCGCACCATCCTGGCTTTCGCCGAGCACCGGGGGGGCGCGAGGGACGAAAGTGCCGACCAGATAGTCATGCGCAGAGGCACGTATGATGAGACAAAGTACACCGTTCAGGTAATGCACATTTCACTGAAGCTACTTTGCTTGGTTCGCTTATTTGGGGTAAGTGGGGGGAGGCAGTAAACTGGATGTGATTTGTTATCACTTCTGACCATTGCAAACGTATTAAAACACAATTGTCTGTTGCATTCTGTCCTCCTCCTCTGAGCCTCGCATGCAGCTTGTTGTCTTAGCTCAGTGGTTTTCCACCTGCCGTCCTTTGCAGAGACCCATGAGCTTCCAATGGAAGTGCCAACCCCTTTCAGTCTCCAGGCCCAAGGGCAATTGCCCCTTTTGTCCCCTGTCCCTTGGGACCTAGCATTTGAAAATCTTAGACTTGGTCTGCAAATCCCCAGGGGTCCACAGGTAGAAAATCCCCGTGTCAGATTGTAAACTGATCATACAACACCCTGTCAGTGCCTATTGCAACTGGGGTCTCAGGGCACTGTGGCTAGATATGTATTTCAGCTGGCCAGAAAGAGACTCAGTAACTCGTCTGTACACTGAGATTTATTAAAATAAACGTAGACAGAACCCCCCAAAGGAAGATGTTGGTTAAAAATTCAAAGTAGAGACAAGAGCTAAAAATGATCAATGAGCAAATCAAGACATAAGCATCCATCTGCATAACCTTACAAGAAACTCCACTAGCTTCTCCAGCCATTTCATTCCCAACCAGACCGTTGAACTTGAGAACCATCTAGTCATAACTACATAGACATAAACCTTTGCCTTCCAGTGCTCTGCTCTAATCACTAGCTTTGCCTCTCAGCTCTGACTTGTATGTGGAATACGGATTTATTGTAATTCTGTGTTTTCTCCTTTGTCTCCCTTTGCACTCCCATGTGGCAGTGGGAAAAAATGCAGACCATTGTCGAGAAACCACTGGGTGACCACCGCCCCATGAGCCCATGTCCCGTGTACGATGAAGTCACTGGAAATGTCGTTCTGGTCTTTATAGCTGTGGAGGGAACCGTCTCTGAACAAGTCCAGCTCGACAAGAAGGAAAACAAGACCCGACTGTGCCAGGTCACCAGCGCTGACAATGGAGTCTCCTGGGGCCCTGTGAAGGATCTCACTGACACTGACACAGGATCCAAGAAATAAACCTTTGCCTTCCAGTGCTCTGCTCTAATCACTAGCTTTGCCTCTCAGCTCTGACTTGTATGTGGAATACGGATTTATTGTAATTCTGTGTTTTCTCCTTTGTCTCCCTTTGCACTCCCATGTGGCAGTGGGAACAAATGCAGACCATTGTCAAGAAACCGCTGGGTGACCACCGCCCCATGAACCCATGTCCCGTGTACGACAAAGTACCAGTAAATGGAAATGACAGAAATGTCGTTCTGGTCTTTATAGCTGTGGAGGGAAACGTCTCTGAGCAAGAACAGATCAGGAAAAAGGAAAACAAGGCCCGTCTGTGCCAGGTCACCAGCGCTGACAATGGAGTCTCCTGGAGCCCTGTGAAGGATCTCACTGACACTGTCACTCATCCAGATGATAAGACCTGGGCCACCTTTGCAGTGGGACCAGGCCACAGTTTTCAGCTAAACGAGGATAAGAGTCTAGTAATTCCAGCATATGCCTATTGGATACTTGACGATAACACCCCCTCCCCCCACTCCTTCTGCTTTGTCCGTAGTGACAATGACCATGGGAAGACCTGGAGAAGGGGTAATTATCTGGCACTGAATTCAGGGGAATGCCAGATGGTTGAATTGAAGAGCCAAGGAAAGTCAGTGCTGTACTGCAACTCTAGAAGCAAAGAGAAAGTCAGAGTCCAGGCTGTGAGTGACAATAAAGGGAGGGATTTTAAGAATCATGATTTCGTTAGTAAATTAGTGGAATCCTCCTCTCAGGGCTGTCACGGGAGTGTTATTGGCTTCCCAAGACCCGCTGGTGTGCAGTCAGAGGAGGACACGTGGGTCCTCTATTCTCACCCCATAGACCGTAACGAGCGGAAAGATTTAGGTGTGTACCTCAACAAGGAACCCTTAAATCCAGAAAGCTGGACAGAACCCACTGTCATCTACAAGGGCTACTGTGCTTATTCGGATCTGCAGTACATGGGGCCAGGCCCTGATGGCTCACCCCTGTTCTCCTGCCTCTTTGAGTCTGGTACCAAATCCAACTATGAGAAGATCCTCTTCTTTATGTTCACTCTGAAACAAGTCTTTCCATCTGAGTACTGAGCCTCAGAGGACAGGGCCATGCAGTGTCCATGTTAGAACCACCTTAGCTGACACGTCACTGCCCAATGGCTTTTATCCCCTGCCCTTGTCCTGGCCCATAAGCCATATTCCAAGGGTTGTTTTTCTTTGGCAAGCTTTCTCCTCCGTCCTGATGGCTCGCCCCTGTTCTCCTGTCTTTTTGAGTTTGGCAACAAATCAGAATATGAGAAGATCATCTTTTTTATGTTCACTCTGAAACAAGTTTTTCCATACGAGTATTGAGCCCCGTTCAGTGCCCATCTTGGAATCACCTTAGCTGACATGTCACTGCCCTGTCTCATCTGTCAGCAAATGGCTTTTTTCCCCTGACCTTTTCCTGCATAATAAGCCCTATTCAAAGGGTTGTTTTCTTTGGCAAGCTTTCTCCTCCGCCCCTTCCCACCGTGCTGCCCCCTTCAGCACCAAATAGCAAAAGTGAATGTGAGTTTCATGGCACACCTGTCAGATCCACCAGGGCAATCACTCTGTGGCAAATGTGATGCCCATCGCCTTCACTGCAATACTCACTGGGTGCCTGGGATGTGCCTCTGTGGGGAGAGACAGTGCTGAAGTGGGCATCATTGGTGTCCCCCATGCTTTGCAATGATGTCATGTTTGCCCCTGAAAAACACATTGCCCCTGATCCTTTCCTTGCCCCGTCTCTGCTGAAATCCTTCCCTGGGCCATCAGCCCTTTGTGTCCTGAAAACTGCTCCTACGTGCTCTGTCCACTTCTGAGGAGCTCGGCTGCTGTGGCCAGGTTGCTCTTTCTCATGCTGTTCTACGCCATCCTCAGCCCTCTGCCCTGGCTCCCTACCCATGTCTGGATCATAGAATCTTACTACCTGATGAGACCCCAAGAGGGCATCTAGTCTGTCCCCTGCACTTATGGCAGGTATTGTGTAGACTGTCCCTGCCAGCTATTTGTCTAACCTGCAATAGAAATTCCAAGTGCTCAAGCACCCTGACAGGAAGTTTTTTCCTAATGTCCAACCCAAACTGCTCTTGCAGCTTCACTGCTTCTTCTCCTGTCTTTGGAGATTAAGGAGAACAATTTTTCTCACTTGTCCCTGTAACAATCTTTTATGAGTTTGAAAAGTTATAATGTCCCCTTTCAGTCCTGTCTTTTCCAGACTAAACAAACCCAGTTCTCTCCATCTTCACACATAGCTCATGTTTTCTAGAACTTAAATCATTTCTGTTGCTCTTCTCGGGACCTTCTTCAATTTGTCCATGTTTCCTGAACTGTGGCACCTAGAACTGGACACGAGACTCCAGCTGCTGTGGAGTAGATTAGAAGTATTATTTCTCCTGTCTTCCTTACAATACTATTGGATCCAGTTCAGGATTACTCACCTAGAAATCAAGCCCCTCCATGAACTCTCTCCAGTGTAGCTAATATCTATCATTGCTCAGGGTCCTGCAATCTCAGCTTCCTCCTTAGGTGGCTTTTTCTCTCGCACTTCCCCATGCAGCTGATTCCTCACTTCCAAGAAAGTCTCAGTTCCTCCCTCTCTTGCAATCTCACTGTTCAGCCTACTTCTGTTCAGAAACGGGGGATCTTTCTTCAGTAGATCACATGCAGGGAGACCTGGTCTGAAGGCAGGGGGAGGGGGAGTTGGGAATTTGGCCTGCATCAGATCTATAGGGTTAGGCCCAGTAAGTGTGGTCACTAATGGGAACGTCAACTTTGCCATGTTGGGAGGGGAGATGTCTGAGTGTCCTATTAACCCAAGGAATGGGCCGTGAACCAATCGGAATTGCAGTGTTTTCTGAGAATTCTAAATAATACCGGCTGGAGATTGCTGGTTAGTCTCTGGCCAATTGTCCCACAATGACATAAGGTTCGTCTACACACCTACATTGTTTTGAAATAACTAGCGTTATTTCAAAATAACTTAGTCTGCATCTACACTGCAGGCAGCTATTTTGAAATAATATTGAAATACTGACAAGCTGGAGGACTGCTTATTCTGACTCCTGTAACCTTCATTGTACGAGGAGTAAGGGAAATCAGAGGCCAAGTGATCTATTTCAAAATAAGTGCTGTGTAGACCCTCCCAATTTTGAAATATGCTACGCAATTGCTGTAGCTCAATTTGCGTAGCTTATTTCAAGTTAAGTCCTGCTGTGTAGACACGCCCATAGTAGAATACAAACAGAAACATGAGTGTGTTTTTCCCAGAATGCTTTATGGAGTAGACGGATTGTCAGGAATTTTTTGAAGGAAGCAGCCCGACCTAAGGAGAGTAATAGGCTTAGAAGGGTCATCTAATCCAGTAATATTCAAACTTTTTCTCTCATGACTCAGTGGAAGAATATTGTTGATGCTCGCTAGTGTGGGCTTTGGTGTGAGGCTGAGGAGGAGAGCTTTGGGATGTGGGAGGGGGCTCCGTCTTTGTGGGGAACAGGCTTGAGGAAAGAGAGGAAGCAGCCCGACCTAAGGAGAGTAATAGGCTTAGAAGGGTCATCTAATCCAGTAATATTCAAACTTTTTCTCTCATGACTCAGTGGAAGAATATTGTTGATGCTCGCTAGTGTGGGCTTTGGTGTGAGGCTGAGGAGGAGAGCTTTGGGATGTGGGAGGGGGCTCCGTCTTTGTGGGGAACAGGCTTGAGGAAAGAGGCTCTTAACTTGAGTGGCTCCCAGTCACTGGTGCAGCAGGGTTGCTAAGGGAGCTTCCAGCTAGCAGCAGGTTTCCAGCCGATGGGACTATGGAGCTAGTGCTTGGGGCAGGGGCAGTGCACAGAGCATGCAGGGCCCCATGTGCTTTCCTTCTCTCCCCCCTCCCACCGAACAACTGAGCCTGATGCCAGCCACTTGTAGGGCACAGTGCAGTCTGTGGGGCCAGAGCTAGCAGGTACCTGCCTTAGCACCCTCACTGGTTACCTGATCCCCCTGCAGCAACAAGACCCTTTGCCTGCTGTTCCATGACTTGGTACTGAGTTGTGCCCCGTAGTTTGAAACTATTGATCTGGTCTACCCCCAGAAGAAGTGAGAGGTCTTTGCAGAAATGTGGGGTGGTGTGAACGGGAGTATAAAGTTCTTAGCAGGCAAAGGAAGTGACCAGAAATGAACCAAACGCAATGGAAGGGAGTGGGAACTCAGGGTAGAGATGGAGGCTGGGTCAGAACTATGGAAAGATAGGAAAGTTTGACCCAGTTCTCTGGATGGGACTGTCTCTGCAGAAAGCTGAGACTCAAGGTATTTGTTGTGTAACAGATGGGGGGCTGGGGGACACGTGTGTTCACATGCCCAGTTCCAAAGTGTAGCCTAAGGGCGAGCCTGCTTTCTTGCCTATATACATTTATGGCTTTTGAATTTGCTTACTCATTTGATTTTTTGTTTTACTTCTTTCCTCTTCCAGTCCTACATTTCCCTGCAGGGCAGATGGGGAAAGTATAGTGGGAAGTTATTAAACATTCAAGGCTTTTTTTTATGCAATCAATGCAACTTATTACTTCACCTACCAGACAGCATCTGGGGTTTTTATTTGTTCCCCTGTAGAAACAACAGGACTGTCTTCATTAGGACTGAAAAGACTGACTTTCAATAGACCAAGGACCAAACCATATTCTTCTGCCTAGATATTCTTCTGCCGGATTAGGCTTCTAATCCGAACTATCTGTACTCCGTGCCACGGGGTCCGACCTAGCCGGCATTTAAAAATGGCGCCGGCCGGCTTTATGCAAATTAAGCCTGGGAAATTCAAATCCCGGGCTTCATTTGCAACTCCGTATGACAACATTACCCCCCCTAGTTCGAACTAGGGGGGTAATGTAGACATACCCTTTGGGACCTATCACCTAGGTAGAAGTGATGAGCTAAAGCATATATAGTAGTGCCCTAATTGTGAAGTATAACTGGTACCAGGGTCTTCCTAAGTTCATACACAGGTGAAATGTAACAGGTTCACCACTTAGAACCAGGTAGGACAGAAATAGCAGACGTGAGAATGAGCTAATGTCATTAATAGGTCTGTACAGGGCGTCCCCGCTATGAATCGCCCCGGTATCCATCCGTTCCATGCTAAAGTCATTGACGATTGTAGGAACTGATACTTTATACGTCCTCCCATTCCCCGCTCATAAGTTGTGGAAAAAAACAACAAATAGAGGACAGCAAGTCATCCATGGGAATATAATTCCCCACTTCCAGTTGTTTCGCTGTAAGTCCAAGTTTTCTAAAATCTGTCTTGGACTTAGAGCAAGGACGGCCTGTATGTGTCACCTGACATGAGCACAGTAGAGGTGGGTTTTAAGTTTTGACACAGAAACAGGACTCAAGTGCTCCCATCTACCAAGTAGCTCCAAAGATTCAGAGCTTCCAGGATTCTCGGTTTCAGTTCTTTGTTCATTTCCCTTCTGTTTATTAGTCAGATTTTAATTTTGTTTGTGTTGGTCAGTTCAGTTAAAACTCTTCTGGCTGGAGGCATCTCTGGCTCGTCGAGGTTCAGCGTCTCCTGGGCTCTGCACCCCCCACTCAGGGACTGAGGAACCGGGACCTGAGCTCTTGGCAGGCCAGGGGTGAGGCTGCTCCTTTGTTCCTTTCCCCCAAGGCCGGGTGTGAGTACAGCCATCGAAAGCTTTCCAGTCTGTGATGCCACATGTGTGGCTAGAACAGTCGTATCGCCTGTGTAACCCATTCATTTGCCATTGAGTGGCTGTTTGAATATTATTCCATTTACCTCAATAAAAGTGTGGAAGGCTCCATTTGTCTCTGTGGGGGTGTCCCTGTCAAACACCCCGAGGGTCCCGGCGCAAACTCTGTGAGGTCCGACTCCGGGACAAGAACCTTATTATCTTCTGATCAGATCAACTGGTGAACCTTTAACCCCCATTATCCATATTAATAACATTAACCTGCTAACATCAGGCAACAAACCCCACTTTAATTCCCTTCATTTGTGAGGGAAAGTATGTGAGTCTGGGGCTCTAGCAGGGCCTTTCCATGCCCATTGGAGTAGTGCCCCATTTAGGGCTCTGTAGCACATACTGGGGGGATGGCAGGCCAAGGACACCCTACCCCATATCCCAGGCCAAGCCCCAGTCCTACTCCTGCTATTCTCCCTCCTCACCACTCCTCTCCCAAACCCCCTCCCCCAAGCAACACTGGGAGCTGGTGCA